AAAATACAGAATTACTCTCGTACGTACAAAGACGCGTTCATCATTAACTTTGATCCAAGCTTCGTTCTGATTGGTTAATTTACACATCGCGTGCTGCCTTTGATGGAAGAAATATTTGTCGATCGGTTCTGCGATTTTATCGGAAATTTCGACGTTCCTCGCGATCTGAATGATTTGTCGGCGAAAGCTCTGATCGATCCTAAGTCGATCGTAAATCGTACGACTTAGTTTTCAACATCGAAACGAGACGATGATCGTCGTTCACTCACTTGCACGCCGCACTCGTTCTCGCACATCAACAGCAACGGTTTTCGTTCCGGGTATTTCGCATGGAACTGTCGCCGAAAATTCTCAGCGTACCAGGCGAGCAGTTTCTCCTTATCGGTGACGGTACAATAGCTGCTCGGAAGCGATTTCAAGTAGAGATCCCTCGCCCGGTCCACTTCCGGCCAGCACAGTTTAATCAGGCACAGCTCTCGCTGCGCCTCCTCTATTTGCTCCCGCGTTATTTTCAGCAAACTTTCGTACGCCGATCGTTTCCCCGATCTGTCATCGTCCTCGTCCGCCGACGTCGATGCACTTTCGCAACTCTCGCGACTCTCGCCTCCCTCGGTCATCCTGAACTCGACGAGTTGGCGATCAAAAGCGAACAAAAATGTGGCTGGTAACTAATAACGTTCGCTTTATTACCGGCGTTTGTTTGTATCTAAGGTCGTTGCGATTTAAAATCGTTCCCGAAGCATTGTTTATTGCCATGGTAACTTACGAGAGCGGAAGATGTTTCTCTCGCGTGGTTTCTATTAGTTTCTGAAACGCTCGACAGGTGGCAGCATGTTCCACGCAGCTGTAGGTACGATGGTCGGTAATACTAACAATTCACCGTACTACAAAAGGAAATATGCAATCCGCACTAATCCGGGAAAGAATAAGCGAAAGGCGATTGCTTTACTAATACTTTTATTATAACGATTAACAAGACAATTGATCGAGATTACGATTCACACACGAGACGATGCGCCGAAGTACTTTTATCTCCAATGGACTCTTCGCACTTTTTTTGAGACAGATGGCGCTGGGGTAGCTGTTGCCACACAGCGTTTGCGTTCCACGTGTTCGACCACTAAACAACGATAATGAATGTAACTGTCATTTATGTATTTCTAAAAATTTCGTTTACTGTTTGTCGCAATGCTGGAATGCACACGCGTGAAATATCATTAAACATTGTTAAATTGCAAAGACGATACATCGATACATCTTTCTATAGCGTAGTTCTTCTCTATGGTACGAGAGGTCGCGTATTTACAAGGATTCCTCGTTGCGACATCTACAAGAAGAATCGAGTTAGTATATAAAATCGTTGAAAATTTAGTTTGTTAAAAATTGTTTTCGCGAAGATTTTTTTGAAGTACAAGTCATTAAGTACAAAAGCATGCATTAATAACTTTAGAATTCTGACTCACTGAGACGCAAAATCTGTATATCGGTATGACAGGATGCAACACGAAAATGGTAAGGTGGTTTTTGTCTTAGGACAAAAAAATACATTGAGTGTTAGGTTTATTCATGTATCTCTGTGCTAGCGCATTAACCGAAATCATTCTACTACACATCGCAAAGAATTCTATCTATGTTTTACAAAAACTTACGATGGTTATTTTGTTTTTTTTTTTT